GTTCTAAAACCAGCATTATTTCACCGACCGTTTTCCTCCTTTATTTCAGATTCCTCTAGCTGCGTGACATTTACAGGCGGTCAAGGTCGACCCTCCGCTTTAAGTCGTGTTTTATATCCATGGAAACCTTGAACAATCGGGCGCACGAGAGAACGCTTTGTACAGACATAGGCGTGCGGGCGGAGACGCCGGCGCACGCGGATCACGGGGCCTGCGGACGAGCGCGGCTCCGATGAAGTTCGCGTCACTTTTATTGCGTGTGAAGGAAGAGAAACGGCGGAGAGATAAAGGAGGATGAGCGACTGTTTGGTTTCCGTTGCTTACCTGTGGCCGCGTATGTGAATCACTCCGTGGCTGTAGTAGAATGGAGTCAGCTCAAGTGCCGGTATATTTAGCAACGGGGCCGTGAATCACAGGCGCGTCTGAGTAGGAGTGTGGAAATTTCGACGCGTGTCGTCACAGGGCAGAGACACTTGTCAACAGGGATACATAGTATCCTGGAATGGGGTGGGGGTTGTTTAGAGGGAAGGAAGACCCCTCAGTACAAATGGCAAACCATCGGTCTTATTGTATGCAGTTTATTTATGAGATAGCTGGGTACCAGTGCAAAATAACGGCTGAAAATGAGCATAGGGTATCAAAGATAGTAAACATTTCAGAAGGAAGGATTAATTGCGGTTTCGTCTTCAATTTTTCACGCACCGTCACACTTTAGTGCAGAAACAAAGAGCACTCCTTATATATGACAACAATAAAATGAGTTTTAAATGATTAATATAGGTTCTAATGTCGATTTGCAATTTGGGCGGGTGGTAGGGGGTGTACAGCAAATTAATATATCTGTTAACATCTTCGCGGTATTTCTGCAACACTAGCGGGACATTTTCGTTTAAGGTAGAGATGTACCAGCTCTGCTGTGCTGTTAAATCCTCTCGTTTCGTATACGACCGGCACATGTAGTTATACGGATGGCCGATTTAGTTTGATTGCTCGTGCGCAAGGGGTATTGCGCCGATTTATTGCTTGTTTAACATATTTGTTCATGCGTGTTGGAATAGGCCGGCTCGGCGATGTCGTACATGGCACCGGGGCGGGAGATCTTGAAACGAGAGTCGTATTTATGAAGTTATTGATCGAATAGAAAGACGGGGTTACTTTGCTGTGTGCTCAATCGATATGTGTACATACATGCTTGCTGCTTCGGTCTCACTGGAAAACAAAGCAAATTAACCGATCGGTGTGAAACACAAGCGTTATATAACCACATAGCTTTTGAAACTTATACGTAGCACGGTCTTTTGGGGATGGCAGTGCACCGGTCGCTGAATGACGTCCAGGTCCATCCAGCCGAAATGGGTGGGGGAAGGATGTGTGATCCCCGGTACACGTGGGGGCGTACTGGCGACCGTGCTTGCTGCCGCCCTCGCCGCCTACCCAACGGCGGCGTGTCCTCTCTCTTCATGCTGACGTCAAGGCAAGCGAGGAGCTCCGCTCCGCAGTCGCTCCTGAGATGAATGCACAATAGCGCGGCCACCTGGCGCGCTAGCACCGCCTTGTGGATGAGAGCAGCCACGACAGCAAATGCAACGCGCTTTAACCAGCAGTCTGACGGTCAGTCAGCAAATGTGCAAACGATAAATAAAAACTCTGCCCTCGTTTAATACGATAAATCTGTTTATGAAAATATGTGACAATCTCCCACAGTGGACCTAAGTCATGTTTTGCCTTATCAGTAATTTGCCACGGAGTAAATATGGTTCAATGCCGGGCATTAGTAATTAGTTATTATCTGATATTGAACCTAGGCTGATACATCTAATTGCCTTATGCTTTTCTGCAGTAGGTGAGATGCAGTACTTAGACGCCAGAAAATTACCCGAGTGCATCGCAACAGCAGGTCTGACATGCCCTAACACCACTTTATGCTGGGATGGGACTTAGTGGTTTATTGACTGGAAGCCAAACACACACTGCCGTTTCCCTGCTGGCATGTTATTTGCGCACTGCATTGTCCAGCGGCATAAACCAGCGTCTCCCTCCATGCAGCTGATGAACTTGCTCTGTCTCCTGTGACGATGCTGGGGAGCCCCTGTTTATTCAAAGCAGAGCTTTGTCTGTTTAGAAGGTTGCGGAATGAGGTGGTTCAGGAACTGGACGTTGATGCCGTATTATGGGTTCAGATCTGAGGTGAGGTACAGTACCACATGTCTGCAGCAGTACTTCTGAGAATTGTCTTTCACCTGAACCATCTCAGTTAGCCTCTACATACTGTATGCAGGCAGAGCTGGGTAAATTTCAACATTGTGAAATGGTCTTACACAGTAAAAAAAAAAAAAAAAGGTATTTTGGTTATTGATTCAATTAGCACTGATATTAAATAAAATGTCTCTGATCCTGTAAAATTAAGTCCCCCAATAGGACACTGGCCCACCAGTAGCCATTGAAATTGCTTCATTTCACCTTGGCATAATGTGCACAAGTGCCCAATATGACACCAAAAGAACACAATGCATTCTTCTACAAGAAATTCCTCATTTTAGTGCTTGATTGACAGGGGTGGAAACCGGCCTGGTGAGACTGTAGACTCTCCCATCAGAGTTTGTCACTGGGAAGTATACTTTAACTATATCTCTGCAATCTTAGAGTCATTGAGATCTCTTAGCTGTGATAGCCAAAATAATGTACATCCGGGCCAGCTCAGGATATCACTTAATGATCTCTAAGTGGGTTAGGCTTTTATGCCCTCATTTACCTCAGCAAAAACAATTGTTTGGAGGCACCTGTCATCTTTACACTGGGTGTCCCCCGTTTATGCAAGTCATTCTTTTGTTTTACTGCATTCCTGTACTGTTTAACATTATGGCTGGTCTTCATTTCAAGTAATCGGTTTACTGATTTCAATTAGGGATTCTGCACTTGCATCCTTGAGCAAAACTTATGCCGCAAATGAAAAATGAATGGAAGTATGAAATACGAAACCATACGCCGTGTGAGTTTGCTGTGGGTGAAATCTCCCACTTAGCCACTGAAGAATAAACCTAATTAATGATAATGAGCCTCTGTGCTTTGCAGAGACCTCTGTTTCCCAAACACAGCAGTTTAATTATCGACTGAACACAAACACAATGCAAAAAAAAAAAAAAAACGTGTTTAGTCCAAAACACCCGGAATGTATTAGTCATTTTTATGATTCTTTTTAAACTTTTTTTTCTCCCTTTATAGAGAATTAACACCTTTGTGACCCTCAAGCCTGTATTTTGCTTTGTGTTTAAAACTGTGAGGCATTTATTTAGTATATTGTGCAGTGTCATAAGGTCATATTGGTATATGCATGCTGGTTATGTTACTGGTAAAGGAAGTATCACTGGAAAATATGCACCGATATCTATTTCTATCCTGTCTCTGCTTGACTCTGACACCGCTGCGTCTCCCTGTCACCCTGCCGGGTGTAATACATATTACAGAGCCAACACCAAGGCGGGGATTGTGGGTAAAGACCAGGGAGAGGAGGTCACCTTGGTCGGTGTGAAAGTTACCGGGCGGCTGCTAGTTACTGCGAACGCATTGGGGAGGGGGGTCGGCCCGAACAGATAGGAGGCGGCGTGCTCAACAGCGCGCATGATACATTCAATAAGTAATACCAGTAGGGTTTCTGGAATAGATCTTGAAAAAAATGCATGCCTATATTTTGTCAGCTCTTCATTGAGCTGTGCTTAATTATTTATGCATTGTTTTATATGCGTGATGGTCTGGTATCGGTATGTTTCCAATGTCATCAGTTCCGCAGCAGAATAAAGTTCACCGGACACTAAGCAGTCACGTTGAAGGTACGCAGTTCAGAACCACGGACAGCGGTCAGTGGTTATGCGTATCTGCGGCCGCCAGGGAACGCTGTTCGCACGTTTTCTCACAGAGTTGCCTCGACCCATTTAATAGTCAGCTGCAAGATCAACCCGGAAAATAATTAGTTTAGTGTGAAAGTGGTTCTTGTGTTGGTAACAGAGAGAGCCTGTTCGCTAGTATAAGGATCAGCAATCGCAGGGGCGCTTTCCGCGGCAGAGGAGGGAAGACGCCGAAAGGTTCGCGCGGAAGCCGCGGGAGCTGGGACAGCCTGCTTCGGCAGCTGACGACCTTCATTTCGCAGAGGAGGAAAAGGAAAATCAGAGCAAAGGTGGCCGGGCTGTGTGTTACGTGTGTCCACGGGTTTGTGTCCACGTGTGTTCACTTCTCTCTGTAGCTGTCCCGATGCCGTTTTATTCGTGCGTAAACCGTTTTCATCCTTGTGAGAGGCGCCTCGTCCTGTGAACTATCTCTAAGGTTACCTTTCACTTAGGTGGCGTGTTAAATTTACACATCGCACCTTAGCCCCACATTATTATCAGCCCCTCTCGAGCTGTTTCATTCGGTTATGTATAGAGGCCTACGTCCATAATACAAACAGTGGCTATCCGTGTTTTTATGTTTACTCTTGGCCGATCTTATCGCTGTCGATCGGCGTAATTGTATTCTTAATCGCGGTATTTCTCTTTGTTCATCCTTGCCTTTTTCCCCCGGACATCTTTAAGTAACACTGCGCTCGCATTCCAATCTTTACGGTCGATCAGACCCCCTCCCTTGCTCCCCCTTGCTTTTTAGTTTCTCTCTAAGGAGAGAGAGACACACACACCCATACACACACACACACACACATAGAGAGAGAGAGAGAGAGAGAGAGAGAGAAGGTGGAGATTGCGAGAGACAACTGAATAGGGAATGGATGGAGAGTGTGACACTATTTTATACGTTGTTAACCATGCAATATTTAAATGAACTTCAGCAACTGATTGCTTGGTATCATTTTGTAGGTTCCATCCCGTAATTAAAGCAATAAGTACAATAGCGCTCGGATACACGCATGCCGACTGCCACTGGGATAACAAGCGTCTTAGGATACGACTGAGCCGCTTTTGAAGCCATCCCCGCTGCCCGTTTGCTCCATAGCCTGCTCTGAATCGCCGGCGGTGGACAGTAGTTCGGGTCTATGGGTGTCGAGCTGATGTCTCCGCCTGTGAGGAACCTGAAGTGCTTTTCGCCGGTGATGTGTCAGTGTAAGGTCGTCTGTAGTAGCCGGACCCTGTCCATGATGTTCGGCTGCAAGGTAAGGCGACACCGCGGCCGGGCGCCTTTCTCCCCGGTCCCCGCTCCCTCCGACGCGTCTCTCCGATGTGCTCCGAGAGGAATAAGCGATGAATGAACCCGGGGCCTGAAAAACGGCGTGTGTAAGTGAAATGCGAGTCGGGCGGGAGGTGACAAAAGCCGGCAGATAAGGAATATCAGAGTTAATTGCCGCTTATGAAATGCATCACATCCGAACGCGATATTTTGGAGCTGCTGACTGCGCTTTTTGACACTTATGTGCTGGAATGAAATTCCTGTTCGCTGCAGCACAATTGTACTCCCTCAGTATAATCTGATTTTAACTTGTCGGCATTTGTCCCTTTTCTGCGGTTTAATTTCCAAATCCGTTTCGGTAATTCAGTGTCGCGGTGCGGGTTAATAAAGCCATGTGCCAAATTATATAGTGTTGACAGAAACTACGGGCTGGACACGCTTCTTGGGTTTAAACTTCGGACGCGTGTATTCCTGGATTTGTATAATCTGTTTAAATTACACGAATGAGAACAACGCGGCCTGTTTCACGGGTTTTTGAGTACGCAAGTACTTTGACGTTTTAACACAAGTCAAACTTCTTACTGAGACAAATTGGCCTGTAATGTGCCAGATTTAAACACGCTCATTGCTCATTGCTGTGTTATTTACATATTTTTTGATTTGTTGATGGTGCTGTAGTTACGTTACAGCATGCATAATAAGTATTACGCATGGTGTATAATAATTGAACTATTAATATTAATGGATATTGCACCCCCCCCCCCGACAGTGCCACTGGGGAGACGATGGGCACAGTTAAATGACACTTCTCATTTGGCTTCTGCGGACTGTGTCCACAAGGGTGTGGTGATTGATTTTTATGCCGCTTGTCGTAATACAGCAACACGGAAACAGCCTAAAACGTAATATTTTAAATGATAGGCCTATGTATTTATCTTTCCGTGGCAGTTTTACTGGCGGTTTATATACGCAAGTGTTAGTTTACTTTAAGTGGAAGTGGTGTGCGAAAATTCCACAAGGCGAAACTTAAATAGGCCTATCTACTAATAGTGCAGTATAACTATGAATGATGAATGTGCTGGGTCTGAAATGTATTACGCGTTTGATGTGTTATGATTGTTTGACATTTGTCTTGGCACGCCCTTAAAATATTATTTGCCCCGGAATTCTAATGAGGCTGTCTTTAAGTGTGGTTTTTATAACATGAAATACCATAATTAAATATACAATAGGTATAATCATAGCCTACTTGTTAATGTACAGCTAAAAGGCTTTTATACAAAAAATATATTATAAATGTAACGAGTCCCCGCCCCCTCTCAGTATACCATAATACAACGTTCTGTGAAACAGAAATTCAATTAGAAATCAAATAGCGCCATCAGACTGTTTAGGGTACTGAGGCTGACTGAAATAAGCTCCTGTGTAAATTTCCAAGGCATTATGTGGCCAAACTTTGCAAATTCTTCCTTTTAAACAACGTCCCTCCCCCCCCGGCAGTTATATCGGTTCACGCACTATGCAGGACTTCCGGAGAACAGAGCACATCTGCCGTATGAGCAAGCGGTAACATATTGGGCCTCATAAATAAAATATCTCAAACCCTCATTCACATTTTATTCCTGTTATTCTTGCATATGCCCTGTTAGTCGCTTGGCTGATGCATTTTCCCAAAAGGACCTACAGATTTTACTGGTATGTACCCCTGCTAGGGTTACTGCATCCACTGGCTGTAATTCATGCTAAGTACCTTACTCAAGGGTACTATACCGTAGTACCACAGTTGGGACTGAGAAGGTGGTTACTCCTCGTCTTTGGGCTGGTTCTTTCCTATTACCATGGTTTTACCTGTGTACCCGGTTCCTTCACCCTACCCGGTACGATGGCATTCTCTCGTCCCATGTCTGAGGAATACTTTGAGTTGGGGGCTGCCGCGTTTCACACTTACAATCAGAACTTTGGCTAAAAGCCCCTTTTGTTCTGCCAGTTTGTCTGTGAGGTCCAGCTCCCTCCATCCTCATCGCATGGGTGGGACACAGTGAACTTTTAAATGACCAGAATGGAAGTATGATAAGCCACGTGAGTGTGTGTGTGTGGGAGATTGACGGCCCTGTCTGGAGCGGCACGGCCAAAGCCTATGTGTGCCAGTGCACTGTCCTTGTCGCATAAATCAATACTGCACTGGGCAGTGGGGGGGGGCGTGGTGCCATACATATATGTAGACTCGACGTCTGAGGAAATAGCGAGCAGACTGTTAACAATCAGTGTCTCCGTGGGATTCAGACTTGCAGTTCTGTTCTTATTTGTAATTACATCACATGTTCGTTTTTAAGCCTCAGCTGCATATATTAAATATTCTAAAGCTGTAGCCTCAACGCAACTGCAGTTTAAAGGTGACACACTACAGCCCCGGCACCTGAAGGTCGCAAGGTCAGTTCCCTCGTGGGACAACGGCTGTTGTACCCTAGCACTTACCCAGAGCGGTTCAGTAAAAAATACACAAGGACACATTATATGTCTGCAAAGCAACTTAATGACTGCGCCACACATCCCTGTGGGGAATTATGGGAAATTCTCACAGAAACACCCATCAGCCGCGATATCCACGTCACATTCAGTTATACATCACAAGCGACCTCCATTTTTCTCCCTCACCACAAAACAGAGATTCTGTGAGTGCTCATTGGGGGGTGAGAGACATTAAAATCACTGGGGGACAGGACTAGGGGCCGGCCACTGGGGAGGGGTCTGGATGTCGCTGCATGGGATCGATGGAGCAGCTCACGGGGGACTGGTTAACTATATCTTACGGGAAGGGAAACCGACCACGGGTCTTGGCCTGTGCTGTCAAGACCCAAGCCACCGTCTGCTAGCCGATCAGGCTGATCGATAATCCTGCCCGCCAAGGACTTTTGGGGGCGTGCGAGCGGAACCCAAGCTGGAAGCGCTGATCCCACTTGGTCCTCACGGCTCTGCAAGGAATCCGACGTGAGCCTCATGATATTTGTTATCCAGCGTGTAAACAACCAAATCTCACATCTCAAGGAATTTGGGTGTGTAGCGGGCCTCCCGGGCTTCAAACCCATAAGCTTCCAGTAATCAGTCCAGAGTCAGTATGCTGTTATTGAGCTTCACTTCAATGATGTCACCCCTCACTACATCAGCATGGGCTTCCTGTCTTTTCCCAAAGGGTCCAATAAGTCTGGGTGTGCCTGTGAGTTCATGTCTGCTGGCTTGGCAGGGAGTGTCTCTGGTGGCTGGGGGGGTGGGGGTGGCTCACATTACATCCTCGACTCCCCAGGTCATTCGATAAACCCGATACCTTGTTTTACATTTTATGGGAGCAAACTGAAGTCGGGCGGCACCTCCGCGGCCTCACTTCCTGTCACATGACTGTCCTCCGGGGCCACTTCCGTCGCTCATCAGTGTATCAGCGTAGATCTAACCTTGGATATAGCTTCCACTTTTAAATGGCTGCCTCCTCTCCACGTACACATCACGTGCAGACAAACACACGTCCTCTGTCAGAATGCAATCTGGCGAAACCCTCGAGATTTGCTGACAGCAGGAGTTGCGTTGGTTACAGCTTGATCCTGATCAATACCCAGCACATGGCATGTTTGTACGGACTCAGACAACTGAGTCACCATTTAGCCGGTAGGAAGAATGTCCTCTTCCTCACATCCCTGAGGTCTGAGGCATCCGGAAGCATCTGGGCAGAATGTCGGAACCGGAAGGGCATAGGTCTGAATCCCCAAGTTCTGACCTGTTGAGTAACATGGTTTTTTTAGCTTCAGGTCCAGCTGTTCACGGAATATAATGACGGCATCAATTATATCGACTGCAGGTATCTTATGATCAGAGGTATTAAATTATTGAGAGGTTATTAATATTTATCTGTTTCCTGTATGGCGTGTGGTTGAACTGTGTTTCGGATCAATCCGTCATCTGGGACTGGAAGTAGCTCTCTGCGTTTGCCAGCCTCGATGGCTCTCCACAGCGAATGTGTACGTACACGATGGAGGAGCCCTAAGCTCCGCCCACTGCGGCGATGCGTCCTGGTGCGCTTTCACGCCGGGCCTCGTACCGCAGGTTAGGAGTGAACCAACCACTCTCTGTCTGCGGTGGTTATTTTAGCAGGTCAAAGGTCAGCTCTTGGGAGTAACCAACATGGCTAAGGGACTGACACATGGCCGGAGAAGCGGCAGTGGCAGAGTGTCAGGTACGGAGCGAGGTGAGGGGGTGTGAAATGGCCAGGGCTCCCTTGAGGAGGCCTGTGATGCAGCGTTCCGCCTTTGCGTGGAGAAGCCGCTCACCAGGGCCCCAGAGGAACCAACCCGCCTCAGTTGGCACAAATGGTCCGCCCCTCCCCGCCCCGCCCAG